CCCGCCACGCCTCATGCATGCGGATGTGTTTTGGCTGCGCCCTTTCCGTAGATTCCCGTGGCACAGGCCTCGGACATGGATGACCTAGAGGAATGGCTCGGTACAGACGTGGTGAGATTCTACTCTGCTCTATGGTGTCTTCTAGATCCGCTGTGTGCTCAAGTCATCGTTTTATAATCTCTTTAAGTAGCAATATTTTCTTCCAGACTTCCCTTTCTGTATTAATTCCCACTGTCCTTAGGTGTAGAATCTCTTAATATGTTTCTATGTGTGTGTGTTCATTTTCAGGTAAGGATGTGTCTTCTTAGTGTATGTTTTAATGCTTTGATCGTTCTATATAAAGCAAAGGTGCTCAACCAACTTTTATGCCCTAGGCAGGTCATACACGTAGCAATTTAAAAGAGAACTATGGGGTCAGGGCTTTTCCCCATAGTTCTCCTTAGGGTAATGGGAGGACACAAACTAGCGTCCTCGTGTCACCCTAGGCTCAGTATACCGTGAACTGTAGCTCGCGGTATACTGAGACGCCGCAGCTGAAGCGGATCCCGACAATTATGCCGGGATCCGCCCAGCTGCGTGACTGACAGCTGGCTCTGCCTATCTAGAGGCAGAGCCAGCTGTACCCGCCCCCTCCCCCATCCGCTCCGCCAGTCAGCGCTGGTGGATCGGAGGGGGGAATCCGGCCCCTCCCCTGTCACGGCAGAGAGCCGTGACAGGATTGAGAGGTGAGCGAACGCCGGTATGTGTTCCCTCACCTCCCGATCTACTGAGCCGACCTGTGACAGTCTCATTGTCACAGGTCGGCTAGAACTATGAGGTGAGTGAAAAGCACTCACCTCATAGTTCTCCTTTAAAGTCCAAATTCCATTTAGGTCAGGGGTGGGCAAACTCCGGCCCTCCAGCTATTGTGGAACTACAAATCACATGAGGCATTGCAAGATTCTAACAGCCACAGGCACTGATTTCCATAGACAGATGCATCATCTGATTTGTAATTTCACCGCAGCTGGAGGGCCGTAGTTTGGCCACCCCTAGCTTAGTACATTCCAGCTACTTCAAAACAAAAGGTGTGCAGTGTTGCAGTTCCTATTTTTAGAAGACAGCCACTGGCAAAGCAGACATGTTTACACCCTGCCAGCATACTGCAGAGAAGGAGCTTTGCTGTCTCTGCGGAAGCAGCGGTCTCTATGTAGAGCACCCACACACCCCCTGTGGAGTCAGAGGGTGTTTGGGTGCTCTACATCTATATCTTTTAGCTGTGCAATCAGCAGAACTCACAATCTCTGCAGAATGGAGGGCCCTAGCTGTGACATTGCTGTTCCATGAGAAGGTGTTCAGACTCTTACAGTATGCTTTATTCATAAAGCAGCTAAAGCCGGAGTAGAAAAGCCTGTCCCCCCTCCCGGGATGATGCAGAGGAAGAGCCTTGCTCTGTGTGTGGAAGCAGTGGTCTCTCTGCAGAGCACCCACGTGCCCCCTGCCGAGTCAGACCTATAGCTTTGCAATCAGCAAAACATATGATCTCTGCCGTTGTCTCTCTGCGGAGGTCTCCTGCTGGGTTAGAGCCAGAGATTTATAATTATCAGGGGGCATATGCTGTGCTTATTGCAGAGCTCTAGTTCTGTGTATTGGGAAGGGGGAAGGGGGGTGGGAGGGGGAGTTAAGACTTATGCAGAGAGACCGCTGCTTCTATAAAAAAAATCAACTGTAAGACTTTTTTGTCTTGATGCATCTGGAATGTATTTAGTTGATATTTTTAAACTGAGAATTCAATTGGACTTTACACCAACCTGCCTCTTTTTGCCGATATGATCAGACATGAGCAGAGGAATGAAGGCAACCTACTCTTCACAAAGCTGATAGACCGATTTCATGGGCTGCAATAGAATAACAGAATATTTGCAATTGTATAGAAATTGAAACGGAAACAGGAACCCCTTTAAGCAATGTGATAGGGAGGCAACGAAATGACATTTTTAGACCGAAACCGAAATGAATAAATTTGTCAGGCCGAAACTGAAGAGGACTTTTTTTTTTCTCCCTAACCTTTTTAAAAATGTTACATTTTATTTTTTAACTTTACTGTTAGGGGCTTTGGGGAAACATTTGGTCTAAATCTCTCTTTCTGCAGCCTCTCTTATGAATGAACAGGAAGCTTCTATATTGAATGCTCTTGTCCATTCATAAAGAGATAGTATAAGTTACTATGTCCCCAATCGTGAATGAACAGGGAGTGATGTAGAGAACTTCCTGTTTATTCATAACTGGGGACATCGTAAACTTACTACCGTATGTCCTCAGTTATTTACAAAGTACTGATCGCTGAGTGTTTGTGCTCCGCTCTCCATCCTGACGTCCTGCCTGTCACAGGAGCCGAGCTCTCCTCCTGCACTGCCCCACTCAGCCTGCTGACAACCTCTCTCCTCCCCGCACCGCTCCGCCTTCTGACAGCTTTTCTCTTACCTGGAGGGTCTGGCAGCTGGATCGGCTTTGTGTCTCCTCTGATCCCCGCTGCCTCTGCCGACACGGGTGGGGGAGAGCAGCGGAGATTGAAGTGGACACAGACTGAAGCTTGTAGCCAGCACCCTGCGGAGGGGAGAGAAGCTGCGGAATGCAGCACATTTTCATCCATTTTTGTATTATCGGCATTTTGCCCATAGTACCAATTTCGGTGCATCCCTAGATAGAAACAATAACATTTTCCTCCAATCGGTTCGGGTTCCTTCAACTGGATTGCCCAATTATAGTGAAAATTGTGGCTTAGTCATTGACTGACTTCTTTTTTTCAATGGAAGATCACAATGAAATGGAGATTGAATTGCTACGTGTATGGCCAATGTTAGGGGGTCAGTGTTCTGCTTTTCTGGAATCCACAAACCTCACTCTGTTTTGTGACTCCCAGGAGAACACAAATCAAACTCATCTGATTGGTCAAAAGTCTGTCATAGCCGACCTACGGATTGAGCACCTTGGCTAAATAGAAGCCATCACAATTGGCTCTGTGCAGCATCCTAACCTTCTGTCTTATGTGGTTTTATTAGTACAGGATGACTTCTGAAATATTTACATTTGCCCCCGTGGTTAGATTTGTTTGCTTTTCAGCTTCGCAGAACCAGAAGTCAGAGGTCTCCTGAAGTCTGAGAGTTGTTGTTCCTCCACCTGTCTCCCAGCTCCTTCATGTGTCAATTAACACAGCCTGGAGATGAGAAAAATAACACAAACTGTCTGTCTGTTGTTTGATACAGTTATGTGCACTCTTGAGCTGGTTGACTGTGCAAAGGCTTAGGCCTCATTCACACTGCCGCGCATTTACGCATATACACGCGTACGTACGTATTGTAACATATGCAAATAAATGGCTCCATACACACAGCCGCGTATGGAGCCGTATATATGCGCAAAAACAGAATGGAACAGAGATGCGTCCGGGCAGCGTATCTCTGCGTATTTACGCGCACATACGCGTGTTTACGCGCGTACACCACATTAAAATTCCATTACGAGTGATGCATTCTGGGATTGCATATAGTGCACGCATATATGCATATACGTGCATAGACGCTTGTATATACGCGCATATATATGCGCATATACGCTCGTATATACGCAATATACCATTTTGCTTGCGTTGTGTGTGAATGAGGCCTTAGGCCAGAGGTGGGCAACTCCGGCCCTCCAGCTGTGCTTTAACTACAAATCCCAAAGTGCCTCTGCCTGTGGCTGTCAGAGTCTTGCAATGCCTCATGGGTTCCACAACAGCTGGAGGGCCGGAGTTCCCCACCACTGGCTCAGACATTTGACAAGACAGGAACTCCTAAGCTTCTGGTGACCCCACTTCTGGTGATTTTAATCTAAACGTCAGCTGGGCTCTAAGCTAAAGGACGGCTTAGAAATGGCAGCATCCTGTTATGGGGGTGACTAAACAGGAAGTCATAGCAGTGTTGGAGAATTTTGCATCTCGCTCTGCGCTGACTTCCTGTTCAGTCGTTCTATACAAGGATGCTGCCAACAGAACTTTCTAGGTCCATCGAGCTGGGTAGAAAAGTGTCTTCGGCTTAATGAACCTGGAATCGGTTCTGATTGGTTCCTGAAACGTTTACTTGTGTACCTGTTATTAAGGGAACCTGTAACTTCAGAACAAAGCGACAGTTGGGCTTTAGAAGGCCTAGAAATGGCAGTTGGCAGCATCCTTTCATGGGATGACTGAACAGGAAGTCAGCACAGTATCGAAAGATTTTTAACTTCCACTCTGTACCGACTTCCTGTTCAGTCGTCCCATGAAAGGATGCTGCCAACTGCCATTTCTAGGCCTCCTTTAGCTTAAAGCCCAACTGTCACTTTGTTTTGAATGGGAAGCCCAATTGAACGTTCTGTATAAATCCGCTGAATACTTCCAGGTTCATCAAACCAAGTCGAAGAGTCTCTTCAGTTTAATGAACCTGGAATTAGTTCCGTATGATTTGTATAATCTGCCGATTTACCCATTCAGAAAAAGTGACAGGTTCTCTTGGAAGTTCACCCACCTACCCAGTGATACTCATCTGCACCGCTCCATTGGCCCCGCATCTAATCCCTGTGTAAGCTCCATGGTGGTCATTGTCAGAGCTTACACAGGGTTAAAGACCACCTCCCCTCCCTCATGTGACGGTGTCCGGGCCTAGCAATTGGCCGATAAGGCCCAAGCAATGCATCCTAGTAATAAAGAGCTAAGGTCACATGCTCCCCCATGCCGAGAAGCACCAAGTATTTCTGTGCGTTCCCGACAGATGGACAGATCAGTGGAGAGCGGTAAAGGTGTCAGTGGGTGAGGCGGTGTCCTTCAAGAGAACATGTCACTTTTCCCTGAATGAGCAAAATGACAGATTCCCAAGAAAAATAAGCTCTTATCGGTGACTGGACACCTACACAGATTGGAGTCGGCCATTTTGAGTCAGATCTGTAGCACCTAATGACATCACTGGGGTGATGTCATTGCAGGCTTTGGTACATCGCTCCATTCTATGTAATCGTTCTAATTCCTTTAAAATTGTCTTTTGGCCATATTTTGACGGACTAATTGTGCTTCTCTTCTTTTTTATTTCTAGAAAGGGGAAGAGCTGGAGGAAGGAGTGACAAGTGAAGGTAGGGAAGAAGGGGAGCTAATAAGGTGTAAAAGCAGAAAGGCCTTCTGGGTAAAGCATACTTGCACATGGTGGAACTGCTGTTTTTGGACAGTTTGAAACTCGGACTATAAAGCGTGTCATCGGTACTGAAAAGGTTAAAGTGGACCTTTCCTGGGCAAAAGATAGGTTACCTTTAAGATGAACCTGTCCTGGGCAAGGGATAGCTTACCTTTAAAGTGGACCTGTCGTGGGCAAAAGATAGGCTACCTTTAAAGTGGACCTGTCCTGGGCAAAGGATCGGTTACCATTAAAGTGGACCCATCCTGGGTAAGGGATGGATTACCTTTTAAAATGGACCTGTCCTGGGCAAGGGATGGATTTCCTTTAAAGTGGGCCTGACCTGGGCAAAGGATCGGTTACCATTAAAGTAGACCTGTCCTGTGCAAAAGTTAGGTTACCTGTAAAGTGGACCTGTCCTGGGCAAGGGATGGGTTACCTTTTATAGTGGACCTGTCCTAAGCAAAAGATATGTTACCTATAAAGTGGACCTGTCCTGGGCAAAATATTAATTTTACCCCTCCTCCACCCCCTTTTATCCTGTTTAATTCTCTTTTTGATATAAAACCAAATTGAGACTAATGTACAATTTTCTTTTCAGAATTTGATAAGTTCCTAGAAGAGCGGGCCAAGGCAGTCGAAAGGTTACCAGATCTCCCATCCCCTCCCAGCACAGAGCCCGTCATGCCGGCCATCCCGGCCAACCGAAAGAAGCAGGAACGGGCCGACGATACGCTATTTGCATTGTAAATAATGTCACTTCTGTATAGCGCTCATTGCACTCCCCACCCACCGCCGCACTCAGACGCCCCGATCTGTCCTTTAGCCGCGCAAACTTAAACTGGGGCCATCAGTTCCTCTGTGGAAGCCATGTTCACTGTTTATAGAATGCAGCCTATGGGTTCACAAGGGACTACCGCTGAGTGAGGCAGCCATCTTGTGAGATGATGAGTGCAGATTTTCTGTTTGTTGGGAACTAGTAATAGGGCACGAATACTATATAGGCAGCAGCTACATGAGCCAAACCAGCATTTCCCAACCATTTCTCAGTCACGGCACCCTTTAAAAGTATGCAAAATCTCAATTGTCGATTTGTTCTAAAATGTAAAAATTATGTATGATCCCCAAAATCTATACCAGACCCCTATTCTAGATTGGGATTTGGTATGGATGTTTAGAGGGGGCCTTGCACAAAAAAATGATGTGAGGTTCGCCCCTTCACATCAGAGTCTCCCTCCCTTTTCACATCAGATGCCCCCAATTTCACACCATATCAGAAAACTACCCCCCTCCCTCCCCCCTCCACATCACCAGCCCACCTTTTACATCAGAGTTCCCCCCTCCCCACCCAGAGTTCCTCCTGTACATCAAGAGTCCGTCCTCTCACATCATCAGATGCCCCAAACTTCACACCATATCAGAACACCTCCCACCACCACCTTCACATCAGGAGCCCCCTACCAATCGGAAGTCCCCCTTTCACATCAAAGCCCCCCCTTTTACATTAGATTTCCCCCCAGAGTTTCTCCTGTACATCAAGAGTCCGTCTTCCTACATCAGGATCCCCCTTTATCTCAGGAGCACATCAGGGTCCTCTCTACCCCCTTCACGGCAGAGTCCCACCTTACAATCCTCCCCACACCTTGACTGCGGCAGCATCGCAAAGGGCGGAAGGTGGAGCAAATTTGGTAGGTGTTAGCAAGGGCAACCTGCATGCAAATACAACCCGCCTAGGAACACCCACTCCTCCAGACTGACACCCACCCATCGGAGCCCGCCTCGTTTCCTGGCTGAAGGACATCCAGCATCTTCTATCGCTTTCCTCCCCAGCCTAACTGTCCCTGGCCCCGCCCCTTTCATTAATTGGACTTCGGTTCTTTCAGTCATGGAGGCTCAGCATGACATGTGGGCGTTACCATGCAAATGAAGCCAAGGAACGCCCACTCCTCCAGACTGACACCCACCCATCAAGGCATTTTGTTATTTGCATAACTCCTCCCAAGAACCAGCCCACTGCTTGGATCAGGGCTGAGGGCTCCCGAGAGGAGTGCTGAGAAAGGGTGGTGTAATGTTATCAGGAAGCTATGTACCGCACCCTGCTAGCCCCTCCCACCAGCTATGATCTGCCTGCATTGGATAGAGATGGCACAGGGACCCAGTGATGACATCACTGGGTCTACAGCAAGGTATGTAATAGAAAACAGAAGGGTTAGCTTAAAAAGTCATTAGCACGTTGATGAGGGTGTATGTATGCTGAGATAAAACGGCGAATAATGAGCTAATTAAACATCCACGGCATCCAATCCAAATTGATCTTTCACTGATGTGACTGCAGCAATCTAAATTCTGATTGGTTGTTTTGGGTTACTGCATCCTGTGCCTCAATGTATTTTCACACCCCCTTATTTCATAATCCCATTTAGGCTCCAGAGATGTCACTAGTTCCCAAAGCTTTAGGCCCCGTTCACACCTTTCCGTTTTGTCGGGCGTTCAACGCTCTATGAACGCTCTACAAAACGTACAACCATGAAAATCCCATTGTTTTCTATGGGTATGGTTCACACCTTTCCGTATTTCCGCCCGTCTGAACGCCCTACAAAACGGCTGACGCCCAAACAAGTACATGTACTTCTTTGGGCCGTTTTGGAGGGCGTTTTCCATTGGGATACAGCCAAGTAGCCTTCGGAATCGCGCGACGGTCGCGCGATTTTTTTACCGCGAATCGCGGTAAAAAAAACGCGTGACGGTCGCGCGACAGACGTGCATGCGTAATACGCCTAGGTGTGAACCCAGTGTTAGGGGGTATGTACCTCACAAAATGGCTGCTTCGTCTGTCGCGTTATCTCAGTGTCGGGTTCCTGCAGAGAACTAAGTCATCAGCAATTGGTCTCGTGATTTGATTGACGGCTTGCACTGATGAGCGACCAGTTCTTGCGGTTAGAGGACAGAAGGGCCGTTAGGCTTGAGGCCTGCTCCATAGTATTTGGCGGTAGTGTCCTTCTAGGTGGCGCTCTGCACATTCCTAATTTTCTCTTCTTGTAAATGTTCCCTATCTTCACCTCCCAGTCTAACTGCAATAGCACTGCATGTCTCATCTCTCTTAAGACGGTAGGTCTCTTTTCATATGTATATTTAGAGAGAGAGAGAGGGCGTAATGTATACCTGAACTGCAATGTTTGCACATCTTTCTTACCTCTCAGCTAATTAAGTTGAACACTAAAAAAAACAAAAAACGACCGCCTGTCCATATTATGTTCATTTCTGCAGACAGTAGAGAAAAAATATTTTTTTTAAAAAGGAGACCTTCACCCGGGACAACAAATTTTGGGTGGTGGGTTATTAGGTGACCTTGTATGCAAAGTTTGGTTTTTATCTCGGGGTGCTTCGGGGGTCCTTTGATGATCCCCTAGCAGCAATTTCCCTTCATTTCCTCCACTGCTGTGCTGATTGGAGTCATCCCCAATTTACTTATGGCGCAGCGACAGGCAGCAGGAAAGGGAGATCACTATGATGGGGTGATAGAGTAGCAATTCAGACTTAAAGTGACATTAAACCCTCCGATTTTTTAACATAAACCAATAGTGTAATGTGTGCCTTACTGTAATCCATGGTTGTTTCCCTTCTCTTTGCTGCTCTTCCTTTTAAATCCTCATGTCTTCTCATGCTTGGGGAGAACTTCCCTTTTCAGCTCAGGGCCTCTTCCTGTAGTGCTGGCTCAGGTTACAAGCCTATACAAACCTATACACAGACACCGTGTATCTATTCCTGAGACAAGGCAGTCTGCTGCAAAATAGAAGTTCTGCAGAGCATGAGAACAGATACAGATTTAAAAGGAAGAGCAGCAAAGAGAAGGGAAACTACCATGGATTACAGTAAGGCGCACATTACAGTATTGTTTTATGTTAAAAAATCTGAGGGTTTAATGTCACTTTAAAGCAGAATCCCTGGCCAGGGATACCTCCAACTTCTTTTAGCTAATTGGCTTGCCCAATTCTAAATGGCCCATATATGTACCTGAATCAGTGGTCACATGACGTGCTGGGTCCCAAGTCTTCTCTCTTCTGGCCTGCAGTGGGAGGGTCCTTTTGATCATGATGAGGGGCAGCAAGAAGACCAGTCGGTGGCAGGCCCTGACTGCAGCAGTCCATCACTGGTCTTTACTATGCACACCTATGCATGACATCATCACGAGGTGCGGCAACAAGACCAGTTGGTCACAGGCCCTGACTGCAGCGGTCCATCACTGGTCTTTATTGCTCACACCTCTGCATGACATCCTGACGAGGGGCGGCAACAAGACTAATTGGTGACTGGCCCAGTCTGCAGCGTTACATGTCAGTCTTTACTACCCACACCTCTACATGGTAAGGGGCAGCAGCAAGACTAGTCAGTGGCAGACCTTTTAACATTATTGGTTTGGGGTGGAGGTCTCCTTTTAACCCCCCACTGTCAACACCTGCTGATTTCATCGGGCATTCCTTACTGCACCCACGATCCCCTCTCCCAATGCAGGGAACCTATATACATTCATTCAAGCAAACACTAACATGAATTTAACATGCATATATTAAACATGGAAGCCATTATTTAAATGGTCTCATCTTAACCCTTTGGATGCCATATTTTTTCTGTGCTGGTTTACACCGTTATGGGGGGGATACGCATTGTCCATGATACTGGCGCCTATGGATTGTACTTGCTGTTATTTAATTTGGGAAATCACTGCACTGTCTGAATGTAAGCAGCCTGGTCATAGCAATGACAAGGGATGTATATAAGACCTGTTATGTGGATGGATATATAAGGAAGGTTGGCGTTGCCCATTACAGCCAAACAGTTTTGAAGAATAACCACCATTTATATTTAGCTTGCGCTGTGTAAGTAGACGGACTTTGCACTTTTGCAGCGACTCTTCCGATAAGCACCATCACAAGGGACAGCCATCTGATGCAGCTCAGAAACTTGCAGATCTAAGAAGGGAAGCCAACAGGAATGAGGTCATATAAGAGAGGGGATATCGCTTAATCGATGATTGAAATAGTTGACAACTTTTTCAATAATCGATTATAATCGATTATGTCGATTAGTTGTTGCAGCCCTAAAGAGGAGACATCCTGTAAGAGTTGAGATATGAAGACGGTTTCCAACTTGACAGGTTCCCTTGAAACTGAGCCTCCCTTGTGCGTGCATGCTGATACTCACCTTTGCTATTCTTCCGTACTGCTCTGTTGGAAACCTCAAAAATTCTCTGTACTGAGGGGTATGGGGAGCACATGACCTTCTCCCCTTTAGGCCCAAATTCAGAGGGAGTGGAGCAGGTCACCAAGCCTTTGTAAGCTCCAGCATTGGAAACCTCAGAAATCCCCTGTAGTTAAGGGTATGGGAGCATATGACCTTCTCCCCTTCCTTCCAGGATACATTGCCAGTTCCCAGACCTAAACATGGTGGCATGAGGGAAAGGAGCAGGTCCCCTTCCCTGTGTAAGCTCCAGCATTGGAAACCTCGCAAATGACCTTTACTGAGGGGTATGGGGAGCACATGACCTCCCCTTCCTTCCAGGATATATTGCCAGTTCCCAGACCTGAACATGGTGGCATGAGGGAGAGGAGCAGGTCACCAACCCTGTGTAAGCTCCTGCATTGGAAACCTCAGAAATTCCCTTTACTTAGGGGAACGAGGAACACATGACCTTCTCCACTTCCTCCCAGTATACATTGCCAGTTCCCAGACCTGAACATGGTGACATGAGGGAGAGGAGCAGGTCACCAACCCTGTGTAAGCTCCAGCACTGGAGCTTACACAGGGTTTAGATCAGTGGTGGTCAACTCAGTGAATATAGGGGATCTCCTGTGTGGCCCCTGACATATCCAAA